TTAACAATTGAATGAGATTGTGGGCTCGGCTTACAGCGGCACCTTTGTCTTTTTCCATGCATGTCCCTCTCTCCTTTTCTGTCACTCAGCCATTTTGGCGAAAATGCGCCGTAAATCTCGCGTTCGTAAGGTTGTCGACGACCAACCATCGTGCACTTACTAATAAGGAAGTTCATGCACCTAGCGACCAACATGCTTCAACCCGAACGAATTGTCACTGCTCTGACAGAGTTCTTACTTTCCCAAATATATTAACTTCCATCAGAATACTATCTTCTCCGGTTATATGTTACACTGTTGTTTCTGGAGATTTTTTATCAGCAACTGTCCTGACTCTACTCTCTGGGCTGACAGATGCAGTAAGTCTCAGTACCTAATTCAAGGCCGATGGATTTATTGCCAGGACTTTCCCTTCTCAGATGTCAACATTAGGCAGCTACCTTGATCCTATATCAGACAAGTTGCTGATATCTTCGCTTTCCATCTCTCTGACTTACGTCGAAATATTTCCAAGTATAACTAATTTGAATTTACCTGAAAGTGCACTTGCTAGGTTTGTATTTAGCTAGAGACGCTGCGATAATTTTAGCGATTGTACTTTTGCGATTGGTCTCACTTAAAAGTTCTGTATGATTTATACCCTTAATTTACATTATAAACAGCACACGCCTATCCACAATATGCTTAAAATGAAGCCGTCTCCATTAAGCAAGGTCAGTTATCCATACTTAGCTTTATTGACTGTATTTTTAAAGACGAACACTTTTCTCCAAATAGCTGCAATTACATCCACTCTGGCTAATAGAGCTATAGGCTATCCTACAGAGTATCCTGTTCATGTTTTGTGGTAAGTAGCAGTTGGCGCCCCCTGAATACCGTCTGATATATCCGTTTATAGGTACCTATCTGGATTTACTACCGTTGCATCTGGCATAGATTACGCTCGCCAATACCCAAGGTGGTACCAGCTGGCAAAAGGGGTGCCCAAACCCTGCGAAAAAGACGTTGCACAACGGACTTGAGAGCGCAACCGGTCGCCTTGGCTCGAGATAAATAAAATGAAAAGTGACTTCGTTGCCATTCATATTTTGTGATTAAGAAAACTTTTTTATTCAATTTTGTGTATTCAGAGGTACAGGCTAGCGGCGAAGGCAATGTCTCTTCTGATTAGGCCCATTGCTAAAAACGAAAAAAAAGAATATAAGGCTCGGTCTAAATTCTATTAAAAATTGCAATTAACAGACCCTTCAAGAATTTATTCTCCATTTCGGCATTCCCGGTCACCTTTGCGGCATCGTGCATTTGGCGCAGCAATTCCTCTAGCCTGCGCATGCATCGTATGACGTCCCCTTCGTACACCTTGGTCATCTCACAGATCTGGGCAAATGAAACTCCTTGGGCCCAGGCCCTCACTACTTCCATTAATTCTCCCGAGAAACGCTCAATATAAGAGCTCTCAGAATCTGGCGAGCCTCCGTCAGAACGACAGTTAGATCTTGACAATAAAACATCAGATGAGGAGCTTGCTCCCCTGAAGATTACTGAAGGTGCACTCACACGACTTTCAGAGGCGACTCTAAACAGGTAACGGGCTTTGTCCTAAATAATAACGCAAAGTTAAACTCTACTTAATAGGAAATATGAAAGGTTGGGGATTATCCTCACATGTATCGAGGAAATAGCTTTCCGCATATCTTGTCCCATGTTCTTTAGTTCTTTGTCAGCGCTATTTGGCTCCCCCACAAAGCATGAAAGCACACCCGCTAACTGGTCTGGCTGCATTTCGGAAAAGAATCCATCAAGCATAAGTTCACTCAGTAGTAGCTCGTCTCCGGAAGATATCTCACAGGCAATACGACCTTTTATTTCTAGAACATCATCCTTGGAACAGAACCCGAGTCGACGTAGAACCCGCTTCCTTGCAACAAGTTCATCCATATGTAGGAGGGCATGTTGTCCGTCTAATCTAGCTTGGGCCACTGCCAACTCGGCTTTTTTCTGCAATGTAATGAATGAAATTTTAAAATGCTCTTACATGCCTGGCTCGTTTACTGAGCTCGACGACATTTAAGTAGATATTTGGGCATGAATGTTCATCTTAATTTGAGAAAATTTTATTAGAATCTAATAAGCTTGTTTTGAATGATAATTACAGACTATTAAACGTGATATCACGAGAAAGGGCTCATTTAGCTGTGTAAGTGATGTTTATAAATGGTAGGACTTACCTCTTCTCTTTTTTGATATGCTTCAATGATGTAATCCAGGTTTGGCTTCGCTGATAGAGGATTCGCCTTCATACGTTCACTGAACATGGCGATCTCCTAATTAAGAAAGAATTTTACTTTATGCGGTAATCTCATGATATACAATCAAATGGGACGAGAATCAGCCCTAGCATTGGTGAATGCCTTCCTATTGGAAGAGAATCGATCCATCTTCGTCGCTACTTGGTCCCAATGGGCTGCTAGTTGCGTCACGTTACATTGAATAAATCACTTCTAAATCAAAACATGCATACCCAGTGTTTAACGTATAGGAACACAGCCTCTTCCCACTCTAGATATGATTGCACAAGCCAATTAGCTATCAAAGTAGATCCGCGCTCGGAAAGCGTTACTACCCCGAGCACCAGCATCTACAGGACTAAACTCACTGTGAATGCTACATGACCAAATTCAAACAATCTATCCACATTGGTTAAACCATTCCAGAAAACTGTCATGTCTTAAATCCTTTCCCTGTTAGCTTCTCACTCATCGATTTTAATCACAAACTCGTGATGACTTCATCTACATTAAAATCAACTAATTTAATATCCCTGGCGCCAATACAACTTCAAAACCATATTTTCCTATCTCTTTTCTTTTCTATTAGTAAAAAGATGGGCCTTAAGTTTTAACTTAACAAAAAGTTAGCTTAATTCTAAGCGTACTAGATAAAGTCAGTCTAGAGGTCCATGATCACAACCAAGAAGGTATATAAGTTCTAGACGAATTTATGGCCACCCAGAATACGTCTCTGAAAAAAGTGAGGCTTCATCCAGTCATTTTGCACAGTACGAAACTGCAGACGCCGGTGATCATCTGCATAACACAATCTGCAGTATGGAAAGAAGCCGGGTTGGGCGGACTTCTATTCTGTTGGGAAGAGATTGCTAAAGCAGAAACTCAGTATCTTTTTAGCAAGTGGCGGTTCGTCAAGGGCTTAATACATATATATTCTAAAGAAACGGAGCTGTGGAAGAATGAAGATTATGTCATCTCTTATAGGATTCGCTTTTCTTCTTGGAGTGAATTAGGCATATTTGTTTAGTTATAGGTTGTGATAGCGTAATGTATGTCATTATTTTTGAGAAACAACGCAAAAACTGCTTTTTTTGAACAAATTATAAATTAAGACCTTCCGAGTACTTCATTCCGTTTGATCAAAATGTAAAACCCAGAGCTATAATTTATACTGCCTTGTGCATATAAATATGCATTAATTGTACGGCGCATTATAGCTTAAGTTCATCAACCATCATTATATCATTTAGATTCAAGAAAGGCAAGACCTATTCAGGTTCCTTCTTGACTTACTTCAAGGCACTTTCGAAGAGTCGGATCGCTGATTTTCATGTCCTTGATAGGGTCGAGCAAAGGTAATTGGCTATGTAACTTGCTACGGGTTCTCTCAATGCCAAGCCAAACCTGGCGACGAAATTCCTCTGTCTGGCGCATCACCTTTGCTGAAAGAGCAGCCCCCTTAAGTGTGACAGCGCCCGATCCAGTAAGACTGTCGAGTTTTAGGACAACAGTCGACAATTCCTCGATGCAGGCAAATGGAACGGAGATTATTCGAACGACACTAGACATCGAAGATTTGTGGGCTTTACGTGGGTTACATTGCGACAAATTATTTAGAAGACCAATAAGATTAGCATATATATAGGATGCATTAAATCAACAGAGCACAAAATGTGAATTAAGAAATTTTTTAGATCAAAAGATTACATTTAGGCTGTAAAATATATTACTAGATAAGTGGGAACAATAAAGATAGTCTAAGAATGATTTTTTAAAATCTATTAACAAACTGAGTTACAAGGCTAGGCATAAATAGCTCAGGTCTAATAGAAAGTAGGAACACTGTTTTGGCTGCAGTCCGCTTGGACCTTATTTATATTCATAAACATATAAAAAGAGTGGCGAAGTCAAAGGCCTTGGCCCGCCATAAATCAATTAACTGTATTGTGTTCGCATTTTTAAACCTTTCTATCCACTTTTTGCAAAATGAGAGATATCCA